GAGCAATTTATTACTAGTTATGTGAGATAAAATGACTTACATAAGATATGTTTAAAAATTTTAATCACTAAGATAAATTTATAGACTCGATTAACCTGAATGCACTGTTCATCGAAGACTGTCATTAACCGAATAGATTATGACAAAGCGGTAAACAAAAGATCATGACTTCGAGATTCCCTACCAGTGTCTCTTCATTTCCAATGATTATTCATTTATTATCACCGTTTGATGATCAAATTACTTTCGAAATTAAGATTCTGTTCACTTGCACAAATCAATAAACGAATACCGGTAAAATAGTTACATAATGGTACTAATAATAATGCACTAGTCAAAATTCCAATTTTTTCTGATCACTAATTTAAAACAGTACATGTTAAAATTCTTAAGATTGTTAGCTGATGAATTCAATTCCCATTTAAATTATTGTAATTAATGAATACTAATGGTAATCATCAATTTAGTTATAAGGTTCACATGCCTTTCTCTTTTAAGATAAGCGATATTAGAAAAGATGAATAGTGGTTAGCATTGGAATCTAGGACGCGCGTTTCGTTTTATTTGGGACTTGTTAGCTAGATTTACCTGCATCTCACAATTGATGTTCACTCTGGGACTCGAACCCAGTGCCCGTTCACTTCAAACGCCATCGCGTTATCCACTTAGCTACTGAGACAAAAATGAATGTTCTGAATTCTACTGCTAGCCACTATCCATCTTCGCTTAGAATGCTTGTGAATTAAGGCAATACCGAGGCAATACACACAGTATATACATATGCCAATAAAAGATTGATCAATTGTAGTCCTAAACATCAATGAGAAGATTCAAGTGAACAATACCAAGTGAATCAATATTAACATTTATTAAGAATTAAATATGAAATTGTATATGAAAGTGTACCAGCTCAACTTATTACATTTTGAAATTAGTATATAAACGACATCTAACAGATATGTAAATATTAAAAATTCCCATTGTGAAAATTAGAACAACACATATAAGATATGTAAATGTATTATTAAGCAAGAACAAATGGACCGTGATAACAAAAAAAAACCCAGATAGATATGAATTTGCAGAAGACGCAATTTCATCAATACGATTAATTTCCAAAATATGTTTAATAAGGTTTCAATGTAGTGCTTCATAGTATCATATAAACCACGCTTATTACGCTTAGTATTCATTTTATGACATTACAAAGGTCACATCCTTAAACCTTGTCAGCCACTATGCAAATATTGCAATAAATCTTAATCCTTTACATTGATCTAAACAGAATAATTAGAGAAAGCTGACCGTGAGTGCTCAATTTGGCATTACGAAAGATTTACAACATATCGCTGTACTAGATTATTGATAACTTCAAGCCGAAACGTTACACTTTTGACATATTCTCTTCCTTATCTACCCTTTGGATGAAAGTGAGGAAAGAATATATTGGATCCATACACTCAGTATCTGATACATGAAAAAAGGTGTAACACTTGAACTGTTAGTGAATTTTCTCCATTTAAGGTAGGTGATAGATGTTAACGACTGCAAAAAACAACATACATAGAATATAATTTCCAATTAATTACATTTTGAGTGTTTATTTCATGGAAGTTCATTGTATTATAGGACAAATTCATGCTCAAAATTCCTGAGCAAAATAGAATCTATAATTCTGAATAAAAACTATTATTATCTAAAGAAAAAAAACTAACAACTGATCTCCTAAAGATTTTATATGTCTTTCTTTGCAAATTTTCATATTTCATCTTAAATTGTATTTGATAGCAATAATATTACGGGGTGTGCTACTGATATCGATAGATATAAGTAGTATGTATCATCAATGGAAAGTGAAATACCTGGCAGTAATAGGTTAAGAAGATCGAAGAAATTAGAAGATTAACAGTAGATGATTGCTGTGAAAATGAAGGCACGGTGAAATCTGAGACGAGTGATTGACATTTGCAAAAGGAACAGTCAAGTTTGAGACAATTGATTAACATTTTGCAAATGAAGTATTTACTGTATGGTTCTCGGATTTTACTAAGATCTGTAATTTTATACATTTGATTGTCTCTACTAGTGTTCTCATTCACTACATTATTTTATTCAGCTGTCTCTGATGTGGTAAGTTTAAGACCATGTCAAACGAGGTGTTTTTAGCTTAAGTTATAAGATCAAAAAACATGTGGTTTATTTTATTATTTCATCACAGTCGAACAAGACTTCAAAAACATTCTGCAGAGAATCTGTGTAAAACCATGTACTCTAACTTCATTGGATAAATATAATAGACTAAGAGTAAGAATCAGTAAACTATTATATAGTTGTATCATCGCTTTGATAAACGTTAAAATTGCATAACTGAATTAATGAGTTAATTGAACCTAAACCACCATGGAAAGCCTGGAAGCACTGGACGGCCGTTTCGTTCTAGTATGAGACTTCTCAGCAATGCGCATCCACGATTCCAACTCGCGAGATTCGAACTCAAGACCTATCAGTCTCGCACACAAGTGCTTAACTATAATATCCACAAAATCCCTCTCCGATCATAAACATTTAAATATTTATTCAACACTATCAAACATTTGAATTTAGAAATTCAGAACAAATCATTTTGTTAGATTAGGCACTCACTCACTACTTCACTATCTATTTTGCAACTAAATATCATAATGCAAGATTATACATTTGGTAAATGAAGGAGGTATGTTTCAATCAAAGTTGATATTGAGGCATCTTTAATTACAAAATTTAGAAAAAAAATGTAACTAAAAACAAAATCATTCAATGACTAGATGTTATTACCTATAAGAACTTTTAGTTTATCTGTAAAATCATAATAAAATAGTATATACTACTGATACCAGTTAAAATTATCTATGTTTACCTTCAAGAAAAGCTAAAAAGAAAACCACATAACCTTGATTATATAACAAATATGTTTGGATTACCGCCTTGTTTTTCCAAAATGGAATTGTTATTGATTTCAATGACAACAGAATTCAATGTACAATCTGAATGATGTTTTTTTTACATCGATATCAACTGATATATGAATTGTATTCGAAAGAATCATGAAAATTATGGTTTGATAACTTGAAATGAATCAGAAGAAGTAATGGATTTTCTTTGAATGACATGGCTCAAAAACGTTTGCAATAGCGCAGGTGCATCTACTCTTTGTGTTCTCTCAAATTCTAATCTTCTGAATTCTCCTTGTCTCTTTTTTCTCTGTCCAAATTCATTTCACTGGATTATACACCTTGAATAACATCTTCGAACCCTTATCTTCCCGATTACTGTTTATACTCTTACTACCTCTACCACTACGGGATTCGAATCGACAACTGCATGTCTGTGATAATATGGTATGGCAACTCGAACTGATGTACGTACAAAGTTCTACCATGTTACTGAGTAACTGACTGATTGGATTTTCTGTAGATTTAAATTTTATGGTTTATAATAAAAACTGAATTTTGATAGCTAAACACTAGAAAATCATAAAAAGCTTGATACCTATTTTGTTCTAATACAGAATTTACTATTAACAGTGTACACTTACAATTTAGTCAAAGGGTAAATTCAAAAGTATGAGAACTCGCTCTCAGTGTATTATTATTGAGTTTCAAATGAAAATAAAATAAATCCTTGGTGTTTTAGGATGTTTAATGGTTCTCCAGTTCGTATCGATTTATGATGAAAATGGTTTGCAAAATTTGAGCAATTCCTTATGAATCACTCATTCAACTAATATTTAGTATTAAAATGTACTCAAATGTACTTGTTGAACAAGTTAGTAGCTAACTTGAATTAGTAGCTCACTGAATAACCCTTCAGTGTTTGAAGCGAAAAGTAATGGGTTCGAGTTTTAACGGGAAAATCAGATCTGGGATTCAAGTAGATCCAGCTGATGAGTCCCGGATAGGACGAAACTCTCTGTTGAGGATGTTAGATCCCCAGAACTCACTTGGTAAATACCTTATTTTTGTAGTTTTATTTTAAAAATTTGAATTTATTGTTTTTGAGCCAAAAGCGCTCGTTTTCACCTTCATGTCTTATTTCCCATTGGGCGGATCTCACACGCTATTGGTTCGTTGTATCTTTTAGTATGCTATTTTGTAACGCTTCCCAAGGACAACTTATTGATGTGTATATACGTTTGATTTTTGCCTGTTGTTATTACTCGTGCTTCTGGCTGCTTTCGGAATATAACTCCCCATTTCGAATTTGGACTTTTCTCTAATTAACGGTGCTGGGACGCGTCAGAATAGCTAACTTATTGCTCTTTGGTCACAGAATCTTTGTTCCGTTCTCAGACTAGGTGAACTCGTATTCGCTTCAAAAATAGCATCCTCTCACTACATTATACTGATAGCCATTTTCTATTTATTTTATAAAATTTGTGAGGAAAAGGTTATCTTGAGGTGATCTATACAAGATACGTATATATCTATACAGAATGATCAACAATCAGTTTGGAATAATAACAAGGGGACTAATAGTAGTAATAGTGTAAATTTTTGAAACACCAAAATGATATTGATGTATAACTAATACTAAAACGCTGCATAATCTATCCGATTTAAGCTGTTTTTATCAAATGTATCATATATTTAAAAGTTAGTATCATGTTTATTTGTTGTTTCACATGATATAGGATACTGTCAGCTTTTAAAATAGAATATTTTAATAGTTGAGATCATGATTCAATTGAAACTAGATCACCATGGAAAACCTGAAAGCACTGAATGACCGTTTTGTCTTATTGTGAAACTTTTCAACAATACGCATCCACAATCCTGCCTCGCAAGATTTCAACCCAGGACCTATCGATATCACACACGAACTTTTCAATTGACTCATAATTTCAACTATTAAAATTACTATAATATTCATAAAATCCCTTCTGATAATAGAGTATTCGCAACAACAAAAAAACTAGTTATCATCACAAAATTTGGATTTGTCTAGACGATCCCCTGAAAATAATTTTGTTTCAATAATCAATTTCACTATTATTTCATTACATCATCTTAGTAGATATTCATTTATTATATAATCATTCTTTGTAATATGATTCCAGAACTCCATTATCTTTCAAGATTCCCTCTTTAAAGGTATATTTTTGTTTGTTCCATCATAGTATTATGATATTAATAAATAATATAAAACTAAAGGTCAGAAAAAAAATCCACAACTTCAAGGTTAATTTAACTTCAGAAAAAACAAACAACTAAATAAAAGATTATTGAACATTGAAAAGAGTGTAAAATAGGCTATTTGTTTGCGAATTGACAAAGAGAATGATAGTACAGGTATTAAATAAATGGAAAAGTAGAGAAAATGATAGACGTTTGGAAGTATATACATACACACACACACACACTCGCACACACCCACACACGTACATATGATTGTAACACTCACAGTTAAAACTAATGTTAAACTATTAAATATGGACACACACACACACTCTTTTCCTCATTCGCTATCATGTCTGACTTACAGCACATATAGTTCATAATTATTATAAATATTAATATCCTTTTTTATTTGTATTTTCTTTACTGATAATTCATTGTACTGCCAGAATTTCCAAAAGTTGTGTTAGAAACTACTTTGTATTCTGTTATAGTCATGATAGTTATGCAATAAATGAGTGAATGAAGAAATCAATTAATAGGTGTTATATATATATATATATATATATATTCATAGTAGAAGTAACAATTGATGTATCTTAACAAGGTGTATATTCAATAGCATTGATTGATTTTTTGTAAATGAAATCGAACTGTCTTTTCTTTCCTCATGCTCCATGATTTCATTAATTCATCATCTACATGAGATTATTTGACGATAAAACTTTTAAAAAAATGTTTCCTCAAAAACCTAAATGAACTACCACTGCTAAAATCCGATAGACGGGAACAACTAATTACAAGCTTCGTAACTCTATATTTTGAAAGTGAAAATATCTCATTAAAAATTTTTTTTTCTCTATATGGATTACTGTACAAGTAAATTTGTGAAATTATGGAGTAATTCGTCGCACTCTATCTGCAAAATAAACTCACTAGCATCATTTGTTCGCTGCATCATTGGTTAACTCTACTTTGAAGTTGACTAGAAATATTTACAGCTATGATTATACCCCATCCCACTAGTGAAATTATAGGGACATTAAATATCCGATGACACTTAATAACAACTTGCCTTCTTGAAGATATTTTACCCTTACAATTTCCCAAGTTCATTTAATCAATTAAAATAATATCTATCCAAAGCAATAGATCATTAAATAACTTAGCACTTATATAATGACAAACCTCTTACATGAATGTTTTCTGCTGTTGTTCTATGCTCTCTCTCTTTCTTGGTTTTATTCTGTAGTTGTGGATGACCAAAATTACTCTGTAATAGCACTAAAATAACCCTATTCATACATCGATAGGATGCACTAATCCAGATACTAAGAATTGATGGTTTCTACCTTCTGCTTTACATTCTTATAATCCTTATGAAAAATCTCCTCCAAAAATTATTATTGAACCACATCATTTCAGACAAATTAATTTTATATTTCTGTCATTTATCAGTGACAATTTCTCCTGTAACAACCAGTAAATTGGCATGTTTTCTATAGCAATATATAGGATGTAATAATTAATTTAACCCATAGGTTTAGTAAGCACCACGTTGAGATGTATCCAATTAAAAACCATTGAATATTTAACTTTACAAAGGAAGAAATGATGCCAATTGTGGAATTTAAACATAATCTGTACTCTATCCTTTGACCTATTTAAAATTTAGTATTTACCTAGAATCATGTTATAAATCTAAATATCAAGTAGGTTGCTATAAGAAATTCTAAAATATGTAGATTGTATTCATCATCGATTTATAAGGTGAGGTACTATTGCAAATCAAGAAGAACTTGACATCTGTTACGTTCTACTGAGAGACGGTCAAGCGGTCAGTATCAAGAAGTTATTTTCATCTTATTATACTGAATGTTCAATCAGTGTTTTCTTACAATCTCTATTATATATAACTAAATAAATAACACAAGTGATTTATTATTAGAAATTAGACCAAATGAAACAATCTAGTTTGGATGAGTGATTAAGGTTGATTTCGAATAAGATAATTAAGGCAAAGTAAATAAGTCATTTATGATTCATAGTCAAAATTATCTGCAAAGTTTTCAGTGTTCAATATGTGTGTAGCTTTCAGCATGTTTGATCATACTTTCAATCACCAAGTAAATGCTGTATGTTGGTATGATTTTCAATACAAATTTCATTTCAAGTCCTACGTTCTATCATATTTATGTTTTTCATCCGATATTTTCGGCTGCGCCACGCTGACACATTCATAAAAGATAGTTATGAATAACTCATGCTGCCCGAACAAACGTACTGAATACTGAAAAAGTTACGGATAATCCCGGTTGGATTTATTTATTCAGGTGGAACATTAGATATTTAGAGTGAAAATGAGATCTTATTGTGTGATTGGGTCTTATAATTCAGCTGCTAATGATTCATATAAAGAACCTGAACCCTAATGGTTGTAATCATATCATGTTCGTATTGGTTAACTCACCATGTTTGTCAGAGTTGCATGTGACATTTTAATGAAATATATCATCTGTTAGAGTTATGTTACTCTCATTTACATTAGATTAAATAAATAAGAGACGATTTGTAGCATTTAATAAGTCAAATTCTTAATAAATTTCATCAGACTATTGGCAGTAAGCAGAGATCAACGTCTTCAAGTTCATCGGTATTTAACTATTAAGCAGATTAACAACGTTGTAAATAATCATGGTATCCTTGCGATCCATACATATCCACTTTAGTACTATGATAGAAAATGATTTTATTATTATTACTATCGTCATTATTATGGAACTACTTGACAAATCAATAATTTTAGTAGTTGAATTCATGAGTTAATGTAAGCTAGACCACCACTGAAAACCTGGAAGCAATGGATTATCATGTGCTCACTAGCGACTAGATTAAAGATTGACTTCCTCAAGTTCTAGTAAGAGTCCAATGGATGATTGGTTGCACAAGTTCATGAATCGATTAAAGTTAGATATTAACACCGTTATATGCCAGCTTAGTGACCTAGAGGTTTAGAGTTCGCGCGCGAAACTGAAGGTCCTAAGTCTGAGTCCCACATACAGGATCGTGAATGTGCACTTCTGAGGAGTACCATACCAGGACGAAACGGCCGTCTAATGTGTCCAGGTTTTCAATAGTGGTTTAGCTTACATCGGCTCATGAATCTCCACAAAACCCTCATTTTGATCAAAATCAGTAATTGTCCAGTAGTCCCCAAATGAAGTAAATTTTTACATTACTTAAATATTGCATTCCAGTTTTCTTTTTATTATCTTTTTTAGACAAAATGTATTTTCCAACAAAATGAGCTAATTACCCGAATATGATTGCAGTTTTCTTTTGTCATTTAAATTGGTTTTAGTCATTTGTTTTAAAGAGTTTAGTGTTTGCTTAACATTTAAAACATTCATTTCAATATATATCTTAAGAGTTGTAACTGAATGGACAAGATTTAAAATGAGGAAATTATATATAAAAGTGGAAACTAATAAATAATTAATGAAGAATGGATGGAATGTTAGCAGTGGAATTCAGAACACCCGTTTCGTCCTATTTGGGACTCATCATCTTAATGTACCTGCATCCCATTTAGGTAGATATAGATGGTATTCATGTATTCATCATATCGCTAATGAATATCTCTAGATTGACATAGTTATTAAAATCAGAAGGGATTGTGTGGAGATTTTCGAAATTTCACTGGTTGAAATCATGAATCCATTGAAGCTAGACCACCATGGAAAACCTGGAAGCACTGGACGGCCGTTTCATCCTAGTATGGGACTCCTTAGCAGTGCGCATTGACATGTTATCCACTGATCTATTAAGTTCAGACAGACTTCTATTAGCATGAGGTATTCAATTACTACTTTGGCTTATGTATTGGGTATGGGCATATGCACTCATGTGCACAAATTCACAATGCAGCGCATATATAATTTGGTGGTTGAAGGTAGTCAACAAGAAGTCCTGAACATCGGTTTCGCGCTCTTTGGCGCACATCAGTAATATATATCTGTATTCTTGACAGAACTGCTGCTCTGTGGTAGATTCGATCTCTTACCATTCAGATTTACAATAAGAGACGTTGACACTGATCCATCTAGGCAGCGACTGACGTTCTGTGGGACTGAGATGTACATACAATCGATTGATTACTGAATAGTGACCAATATCACGTATGTCAAATTTGTATTCCTGCTAATCGAATTCTATCGATTGCATTACACTGCACATACTCCAAGATAGACTGGTCAGATGCAAGTTTCAATGTAACAGAAGAAAAACTCAAACCCTTACATGAATCTAAAAACAAGGTGAATTTTTCAAGGATCTAGATTAAGTCTTTTATCCTTAGAAAAAATGACACGAAGGCTAGATGTTGAGGAGAAGCATCTTATCCAATCAGCATTCACTAGAAATTTTGCTAGAAACACATAGAAAGTGAAAAGTCGTATGTCAAGTTTCTGATTGGCAGATTACCTATGCTGCTACTATGTTTAGTAGCATTCCAGAATTTTCCGGAAACTCAAGGCCATCTAAAATACTATAAACACCCTAGATTTTCTGTACATAAACGAACCTTTGGAGTAAAGTGTTTTCTTCGATACTTTGCACCTTTTCTGTCATGCTCAAATCGATGTTTAAATCTAGCCTGGGGGTTTACTAGAAGAGTTTAGGAATCAAATCTAGTGTTCGATGAAAAGATTTATCACCAGAAACTTGACATCTATAAGAAATGTACAAAACTTACTAGCACTATAGCTTTCTTCTTAACTATAATATGTTAATTTAAAAGTGAACTATAATTCCGTTGACTGTTTTTAAAAAACCTGTATTCATGTTTTATTGACTAACCTTTATCTTAAACAATTATATTAAATTATGATTGAATATGAATTGATGTATGTACATATATATCAGGACAAGAAAAATGTTAATAATTTTCTTTTCATTCTACATTTCATACCGGGTAATCGATCAGTCACTTTTTATGCACAATGGTAAATGATAACTTACAAATGCCATAGAAACTAATTGAAACATTCCAATTTTGAACCAAACAGTAAATTTTCATTAACTAACTGTAGAATATTCATTAAATAACAGACTAGTGTAATACCTAAGATCTTCTTGTTTAAATGTACATTATGAATTATTATATAATATAAAATAAAAGAAACATTATCAATAGAATAGCTTACCAAAAATATTGCAGCACAAATAAGCAAAAGTTTCATACGATAATCCAAGTCCAAAGGGAAGTCAACACGAAAACTATCATTTTCTTGATCTCGACGACATATTATCCGTCCAATTGATCTATTATGTTCATGTGCATAAATCTTAACAGTGGTATATGAAAATTAAAAACATATGAGAAAGTAGTGTGTAATTAATTACTCATAGACTATTAATTATGAAAAAAAAATCAACTAAACGATCATAGAGGAAAGTGTGAGTCCTTATTTAGCATATAGTTATTAATTGAATTGGAGCTAGTCGATAGAAAGCCTTGGATCTAGGTTTTGTCCTGTTCAACCCTCATCAGAAATGTTCCCCTATAATCTTAAAGAGACTGATGTTCTCTCATAGATCTTTTCCCGCATCATTCAGCTTTATAACCCGATACGTCACCACTGAGCTTTTTGCGTAGCTACTGACTTTCTGTAGAACTCATAGATACTTATAATTAATAGACCAATTAGCAGTAACTATTTTCATGTTTATCTAATCTTTTAGGGCCAATCGAATTCTGTCAATCAAGTTGTTATGTGAGCACTAGTCCCTCAAAAACACAGATGTGCCTTACTGTTAAATGCCAACTGGTACGAAATTTAGACCCAGAGTTTTCTGTGGTCTTTCTAACCAACTAAGATCTCAACATAGTGCAGTAAAAGTCGAATCACTTAGATTAGCGCTCACATAATAATTTGCTAGACAGTAGTCCATTGACACTAAAAGACTTGACAAACATGACATTGGTCACTACTCAGCAATCGGTTAATCTTAAATAACCAATATGTTCATCAAACATTTTGCCGATTTCTATATTAAATCCCATAAAATCAATCACTGAAATTACACATTGTTAAAGACAAACATCTAAATACATCTCGGTATTTTTCTATAAATAAAATCACTAATCATTCTAGTGTATTTTATAACACTTATTAAGGTTAAAATTCAATATCTAAAGTTGAATTATTGAGTCAATCTAGACTAGACGACCATGGAAAACCTGAGAGCATTGGACGGCCGTTTTGTCCTAGTATGAGACTCCTCAGCAGTGCGCCCCCACGATCCCGACTCGTGAGATCCAAACCCAGGATCTATCAATCTCGCGCGCAAACGCTTAACCTCTAAACCATTGAACCGGTATCCAACGGTGTTAATGTCTAACTTTAACTAATCCTATACTAGAACGTAACGGCAGTCCAGTGCTAGCAGGTTTTCCATGCTGGTCAAGCTTCATTGACTCATGAATTCAACTATTACATTGAAGATAATCACCATAAGTATGTTTCTTGATATGTTAACTTCCAACAAAACCCAGAACTTGTAATTCATTTCATCAGTATAGTTAATTAAAATGTTAGTGTGAATTATTTGTTAGTATTTTTCTGTTCTCAAAATAAACCTTATTACAATGAATTTTTTTTGCTTTGATAGTTAAATTAAACTTGAAAAAGTAATACTGATTGACTGAAATCGATAAAGTTGTATATCATCAATAAAATTACCACATAACATATTTGGTGTTTTTATGTTGGATTAATTTACATTTTATTTGGTTTAATTGATAAACTACAGGGGTTTCGTATCATAGAATGATTTTGATTAAATAACTATTGAAAACTACGAATCTCTAAATAGTTGTTTCATGCTAGTAATATGCAACTAAGATCATACTAATAATTAAACGTACAACTTTTAAACCTTATGGCAAACGTTCAACTTTCAAGCCATTGAATTATTTACTAAGATTATTGACTGCCTAGCTAAAGTCAATCCATCACGTAAAATTTAAATTCAATAATCTTCACAATATCTTATAATAACAGTAATTAACAAATATTAATTATAATAATCTGAATTATAAAAAGATGGATAGTGGCTAGCAGTGGAATCCAGGATGCACGTTTTGTCCTATTTGAGACTTATCAGCTAGATGTACCTGTATCTCAGAGTTGATGTTCACTCTGGGACTTAAACCCAGTACAGTTCGCTTAAAACTCTATCGGGTTATCCACTTGCTTGTATAATGGAGTGAAATTGAAATTCTTGCTATTGGTGTTTATGACTGTAATTTCACAAGCAAGTAGCTATCAGGAAACAGTAGTTAAGTGGATAATCCGATAGCATTTCAAGCGAACGATATTGGGTTCGAGTCCCCGAGTGAACATCAACTCTGAGATACAAGTACATTCAGCTGATGAGTCCCAAATACGAAGGAACGCGCGTTCTCTATTCCACTACTAACCTTTATCTATCTTTGCTTATAATGCTTGTGAATTAAGGCAATATCAAGACAATCTTCACAGGATGCACATATACTAATAAGAAACTGATCAATCTCAGTCCTAAACATCTATGGAAAGATTTAAACAAACAATACCAAGTGAATTTAATTTTAATTATAATCTTTTACTAACAATTTCCAAGTCATTCAATTCAATTTCTTCATTTATCATTAATAGTAGTCAACAGAAAATTGTTTGATCTTTGTTTCTATTTAAATTCTATCAATTAAACAATATTGATTTTTGTAACGTCATAAATTAAATCTTAACGGTAGGTGCCGGTTAGCACAAAATCTATATCTATTGCATCCATTGTTACAGACCTTTAATTATTTAATATAATCAATTATAACAGCTGTTTATTAATTGACACTTTTACTATTGAACTAAAAAGGAAAAATCAACTACATAGTTGATTGATCGAATATTATTATTCATAGATTTTGATGAAAACCGTGTTCATTTTTGTATATCAGTCTAGACATGTTATAAAATCAATTGTTAAAAGATTACTTAAAGTTGACAAAGTTTTACTATTTAAGTTATAAAATGTCTAGATAGCATTGTTGTTCGTCTAGAACGAATCATCAGTATGGGATTATGGAGATTGTTAAGTTTTTGATTGATATCATGAATCGATCGATGTTAGACAATCATTGTAAAACTAAAAACACTTGATAGATTGGTTGAAGCTAGGTGTTAACATCCTTGGAGGTTAAAGGTTAAGTGATCGCGCGCGAAACAGAAGGTTCTGGGTCCGAGTCCCCTCGGTGCAGGATCGTGGATGCGCACAGCTGAGGAGTCTCACGCTAGGATGAAACAGACGTCCAATGCTTCCAGGTTTTTAATGGCAGCCTAATGTTGAACGATTCATGACCTCAACCTAAAATTAATAAATTGTATTTCATCATTCCTATGTTAAGAAATAATGAATACCACCAAATGGTTTGGAATTTTTTGTTGATCATTGTAAGTGTAAAGCGTGCCTATCATAGGTTATTAGATAACATTTTCATTTTGTACATTAATTATCTATTTGTATTTAAATAGTATATAGATCAAGCATCTTTACAAGACTAATAAAAACATGGCATTTAAGCTGAACCATGAAAAGAAAAATACGTTATTATCATCCTTCCAATCTGTACATAACTTAACGTTTACAGTAGGTGATTATTTACTTTCATATAGTGAATAGTATGTTGTTGTTTTTCCGTACTGATCAAATTCCTTCAAGCAAGTTGAAATATACCTACTAATCTTAGTGACCCCATGTTCGGAAGTTCTATTTGCAGTGTTAGATATTTGGGTGCAATTGATAGAAAACTATGATTTAACAGCGTTTCATAATAGTTGACATATTTGCAATAATAAGATAACTGACATCCCTCTTGATATTTGAATCAGCATCACCGAATGGGATAACTAGAAATTTCATTAGTTCGCAGAAGACTGAAAACATATCGTTTTTACAAATAAAACTCAGTTCTAGAGCTTCTTGCCAAATGTTCCAGATAATCTAACACATTATCATCAACGTGAATTTTAGCAGTGTCGTGTTTTCGATGAATTAATAACTTAGTGGTAACCATTATCTAGTTTGTCTAGTCCTTTAAAGGCAATCGGATTTTATCAAGCAAGTTGTTATATGGGCACTAGTCTCAACATAGTGCACGCAATGTCGAGTCACCCAGAATGGTAGCCACATTGCAACTTGGTCGATGGGATTCGATCTGCATTAAGGACGACCTGACATACATGACATTGATCACCACCGAATGGTCAATGAATAGTGAGGAAACAAATTAAGGGAAATTTACTCTTAGGGATATGGTAAAATTAAACTTGGTATTCATCAAATCCACGAAAAACAACCTTGTTTTTGATAAAAATAAGTTTTCCGAAGAAATAATGAAAGTAATTTAGATTTTTTAATGTATGAAATGTTCTAGGAACTTCAGGGATAACTAAGTTTCAATATTTTGGATTTAAATTGCAAAAAAATAAATTATAACATCCTGAAAGAAGAGAACATAGGCGAGACTCTAATTTATGGAAGAGCCAATCAGAAGCGTTTGAGGGATTTCAAGGTCACGGTGCCAATTTCAGTACATGATGCTCATGTACGGTCAGTTTTCAGCAAACATTAGAGAAGACGTGATTATTGAGCGACTTCAGCAGATGGGACTACTAAGAACTTCCTTTATTTGTGACAGCGGTGATCAAATGACTGCAGTACCGTGTTCAGACTATCGTGATGTCTTTCGATGTTCTATATGTTGGAGAAAGAAGTCTGCTCGAACGGGTATTTTCTTCGCTCAATCGCGATTGAGACTGAGATAAATCATGATAATTGTCGCTAATTCGATAATAAAAGCACCAGTAACATTGACTGCAGCATTTGCGGACGTTAATGAGACTTCAGCTGTCCAATGTATGAGTATTGCAGGGATATATGTGCAATTAAAATGACACGTTTACACAGTCGTTCGGAGGAGTCGGGAGTATTGTTAAAATAGATGAAACAGTAGTACGGAAACGAAGATATAACCAAGGACGTGATATTAAGGAAGACTGGATAAGTAGCACTTTCGAAAATATACCTTACAGATACTTGGAATTTATGACAGATCAACGCAAAAGGGACATTTTCAAAGGGTCTAAAACTGGTTATCAACCACAATAATACCAACTATACAGGAATACGTGCAGCCCGGCATTACGATATATATAGATGATTGGAAAGCGTATAGATGCCTACATAGACCTGGGTATGTGCATCATGTCGTTGTGCACAAGCGCAATTTTTCCGACCCTACCACGGAGTTCACACTAATAGTATTGTGGTCCAGGCTAAAGAAATTTTTAAGACCCTATCACGGCTCCAGAACTCAACTATTATGGAGCCATATGGATGAATTCCTAGACTGTATACACTACGGTTTCAGAACCTCTGAACCTCTTTCGAACCTTAATAAGTTTTTGAATCATGTAAAAGAAGAATATCCACTTTAATTTCTCACTTATACTAACCGTCTTCTGATTGGCTGACAATCCTCAAGGTCACTTAAGAGTCATTCAAAGGTCGTCTATAAATAGAGTCTCGCCGAGGAAATACATTCTGGTTGCAAATATGCACACTGATTAGTCAGGTAGTGGCTAGTATCTTATCAGTCTAATGTTTAGCCCATAGTGATGATTAAATTCAATTGAGAATATTAGAATGTGATCATTAATTATGTGAATACATCATGTGTAAACTATAAATTTATACATTTCAGTTCTAGTCACGTAGTTTGTATATTGGTTGGTGATACTAATCAGTTGTTCAAACCGATATAGGAGGAGTAGAATATGTACTTGATATTTGATCACTAATCCATTACTATTATCAACATCATGCTACACCTTGATGTTATGTGATTTTATGCAAATATTTAGAAGACATGTTTGACCTAGATTTCGTGTAAGTCAGAAGTTGAAAAGTAAAGCATACATGAAAGATTTAGAGAACTAGCGATTGCTGAAATCTCAAGCTAAGCGTCACTTATAATAATATCAGTTACAAGTATATACATATATATGATTCGTTCCGATATAAATATCTATTAACTGATTTCAAATCATTTGAATAAAAAAATACACTTAATAATGTGTGTGAACACTTTCGTATAGTTAAAGAGGACATACCAAAGTTACATAACGAAATGTGACACCATTTTAACAGAATTTTAGTTACAATTAGTTTGATTTACGATAATAACTTAGTGTGCTAAAATATGTAATTCAATAAAGAAAAACAAGTACGTTAAAAACCAGCCATTAACATGGTGCGGAAAATAATTTTAAATGAATGTGAATCTTATAGCGCTATGCGAGCCCACATACATTATTCTAGCTTAGGGACAGGCCAATTTATTTATTCTTCTTGAGTCAAATTTTGGCCTTGTCAATTATTCGATTGTCAACCTTGAATATTTTTATGTAAGAGTATGTATGCGCATTTCTTATCTTATTCATCACATGACTGTAATTTATCGATTCACACTTGGTCAAATCGAGTTGGCTTACATGCCTTCTCCATCATGCGTCATTTCACCTCGCTCACTTTCCCTCGCTTCTTTGATATTCTGTCTGGATCAACGATTGTACAAATATATGTATTCGAAATTCATTCTCGTAGTTGACTTATTTAATATCATTATTCACTAACGCGAGTTAATTCGGTGACTATGGACAAGGATTGGCAACATGTAAATATTTCAATAACAAGCAGCAAACGACCCAAATAGAGTCAGATTTAAGGCCACTAAAATCTAAAGTATTCCGATCAAATTATTAGTAAACAGTTATTTACTTTTAATTCATGATCGTTTTTCACCATGGTGGCGGATTTCTGTCAAAAATAAGAATATTTAGTTTAATTGTATAATATATCATTCATTGTAGGTCACGCCTGTTTCAAGTGAAACTTCATTTTCAAAAGATTCGACGAGATTATAATTCATGGACGAACCAATCAGAAAAGTTTCTATGAGATTTCAATGTCACGGTGCCAGTTTCAGTATCTGATACTCACGTGCGATCAGTTCAGAGTGGATTTTAGAGGAAACGTGGTAATCGAGCGATTACAACAAATGGGACTACAAAGAACTTCCCTTATTTGTGATTGGGGTAATCAAATGACGTGAACTTTGTGCAGACTACCGTCTTTCGACGTATTATGCGTTGGAGGAAGAAGTCTGCTAAAATAGGATTTTTCACTCAACCCAGATTGAGACTAAGGCAAATCATGACAATTGTCACGAACTGGGTAATAAAAGCACCAGTAACACTAGCTACTGCCGGGTACTACAATATATATGGATGATTGAAGAGAGTACAGACTTGGTTATGTGCATCATGTCGTTATCCACAAGCAGCACTTTGTGGACCGAACAATAGGAGTGCACAAAAACAATATTGAAGCTATGTGGTCGAGGTAGAAAGAGTTTTTGCAACCTTATCATGGCTCCAGAGGTCTACTATTACGGAGCCATATGGATGAGCTCCTCTACTGCATGCATTACGATTTTAGAACCTCCAAGCTTCTTTGTAACCTTGATAAGTTTTTGAATCATGTAAAAGAGAATGTATCCACTTTAATTCTTTGGTTTTTTTATAGTGTATTTTTACTCTATACTGTTTTCTGATTGGCTAGTATTTCTCAAGTGCACTTAAGATTCGTTCAAAGGTCGTCCAAAGATTATAGTTCCGTCAAAGATTCTATTCATGTAAATGGATGGATTAGATTTGGTAAATATAATACATCTCTTTGACATGAATTATCTAGAGAAATGAAATTAACCAAAGGTGTTTAAAATGGGAAGTTTATTTATTAACTGAAAAAAGTCTTAAGTTGTAGACAATTGAACGACGTGTTATTTTTTTATTGAGATCATGAACCGATTGATGTTAGATCACCATTGAAAACCTGGAAGCGCTAGACGGCCGTTTCGTCCTACTGCGGGACTCCTCGGCACTGCTCATCCACGATCCCTCCCCCGGGATTCGAACCCAGGACCTTCAGTCTTGCGCGCGAACGCTTAACCTACTGAACCATTGAGCCGGTATCCAACAGTGTCAGTGTCTAAACACAAACGATCCACAAAGTTGCGCGACCATCTTCGATTGTACTGAGGTAGACCCAACACGGATTAGCTCCACTGGTCATGGTTTCTCACAGTTTAATGAATACAGTTTCCCTCTTTTTTTGAATTCATGACTAGGATCATATTGCATAATTAAATTTTCTAAATGGTAATTGATAGCTTAAATGAGCTAATATACGTATTATACTTGATCACTCAATATATAATTAGTACACACCTACTGAAATCTTTTACATAAACAAATAGTTTTACCGAATTATTATCGATAGAAAAATAAGATGACCAAATAGAAAACAGTGCAAAATTCATGTTGATTTGACAATAATACATTGCTTGATTATTAAAATTAAGCTGGGCATTATATTTTTCAAGTTTGTTTATATATGACAATTGTTATATTTTAAGTCACGAACTAATCTTAGCTAGACGAACAGTGAAAACTGGGTAACACTAGATAGTCGCTTCATACTGGTATGGAATTCCACAGAAGTGCGCGTCCACGACCCCATAAGCAGGAATCAAATTTAGGACTTTCGGTCTTTCATGTGAATGGTTACCCTCTAAAGTACTAAGACGGCATCCAATGTTATTAATGTCAAACTTTAAACAGTTCACGATATTGCACAATCATTTTCCATTATCTGTGGCAGATAAATGTCTTATACTGAACATAGTTCAACTCCATCCGTCATGGCATCTCAGCACAATTATAAGAGCTTTATCTTGAAATTAGTTACTCTTGAACATATGATTATCATTAGCATTAGAGGATTTTTCGATGTTGTAGGATTTTCATAGTTTTCAAATTACATGATGAACTTAGCTACACAACCACTTAAAACCTGAAAGCATGATTTTCACTTTTATTAATCTGTTTTTACTAAAAACCATAAGTTCACTTTACGATGATCTAATGATTGTATCAAGTATTTTTTAAGTTAATTATTCATGAATTAGTAATCTTTAACAACTTATACTCACCTTAAAAATAAGATCAAGACAACAGGTATAAGAAAACCAAGGACCTTTTATATCTAAATTTATGTTATCATTCCAATCTTTCAGGTAAAATGTATGACCAAATCGTCCATAATTTTGTACAATACTACCCATTGGTTCACCTACTGGAGCTTCAACTTTCATTTCCTTAATTAAAACATATATATGTATGAAGGAATGATATCAATAGAAAATATAAATACTATAAATAATACCAAAAAAAACGGAACATAATTAACAAAAATTGGAATATGAATAAATGTTCATTAAAATTAAACAGAAATAAGAATATACATAGCAACAGATATACTCAAAAAGTGATTATATATATATATATATATATATATATATATATATATACTAAGAACCATAAGCAAATAAATACCTATGCTTAAATTATTTGAGTTTTTGAAATCAGTAGTAAAGTATATGCAATTAGAATTGAGACATATTCTCAACAATATATATGTAGGAAACTATATTTTAAATTGTAACTAGTAATGGAATGCAGGAGTGTTTCTTGAAGTTCATCAGATGAATGTTTCTTTATTATAATGTTGATTTACATAACGAGATCTCAGATTAGTGTTTTTAGTTTCAAAACAAATTGAGTAAACTACCAGAATACCGAGTTATTTTAGTGACTATCTTACTTCAAACAAAAATAAGTGATGAACAAAAACCTTAGTGCTAGCCCTGATGTAGATACAAGTTTTGTGGAGAAATTTGTTCTGCAAGAAAATTTGTTACGGGATATTTTTTAAATTCAGTTTTCAAAATCCGTAAAGAGTAATTAATTTGAATAAATACTTGTCAAACCTTAGACATGGTTGATTTTTCAGACATTTTTAAGTCAAACAACCATTTTGTAGGTACATTATTAACCCCAGAACCAAAAAGCTGCCAGTTTTATCATTATAACGCTTTATAAGATTCAGAACGTAAGAGTTTCCTACAAAACTCCAGTAATTATGATGTTTTTCTGATGGAAAACAGCTGGCTTATGGATAGGGTTCTGATGTTCACTGAATATGTGATTGAGTCGTAAATATGTTTAATCATCCAATAACCTGGTAAACGTCACTATAGCATTGGATACTGGATAATATGTGATCACCTGACTCTTATAAGGGGTCATTTTTCCCACCAAAGTTCCTAGCTTGTAATCAAATAATTCAACTACACGAAAAGTCTGGAAAAACACCGTTTTGTACTCCTGAGTAAAACCTTCTGTTAGATATCCACTGGTTCTAGTAATATGGTTGTCAACAACGCTCTTTGATAGCAATAATAAGGTTTATGCTCATTATTAACAAACTAATCAACATTCCAATGTATGTATTCTTTTCTTTCGAATGAGTTGAAAGCTTGTGAAGGTAAAAAGGTTCTGTCTTCATTAAATTTTAAACGGATCATATTTAATCTTTCTTTGCACTATAACTTTAATAAGCAGGCAAATCAGCTAGCTTTTTAGTATTACCAAAACGATTCATATTGTTTAAGTTGCATTACAGTAGTTGTCTAGTGAAATCTAGCTATAGATCACTTTATGGCTTTAAAATTGATTTTAATCTGGCTATTTAGTTTAGTTAAAACTTTACCTACCTATGAACGCATTTCCATTTATCCAAAATACTTCAAACTCTTCATGAGATTCTAAGAGTATAAAAACATGTTTGGCAGACCTAATATCATATTCCATATTTTCATTTGGCTAAAGAATTCAAACTATTTACGACCACTAGTTATGTCTTAGGTGAAAATTATTTTATGAAATGGTATAAAACGACGTCCAATCGTTTGGGTGTAGAAAATGACTTAATTAAGGCTATGAAATGTAGGGTGTGAAATTACTAAGCAACAAAATACCGTTTCTTAAAATTTTAAAACAGGAAGGTGAATTCTAACTTGTTTGTCAGACGATTTACCAACTTACATAAGGACAACAAAAACATACAACTGCTGAACACTTCAATGGCCGTTGAAGATGCATAACAAGTTTTCCGTTTACATTTCGCACTTCCATATCGAATGCTCTGTGAGATCCACACCAAAATCTTTGTGCAAAGCTGGACTTTTCAACAAATTTTAAAAGAAGTTCAGAAGTATCTAACAGGGCTTCATAAACCACTGCATCATGTAGCTTTGAACCTAGAAAAAACAAATACAATTTCTATATTTTCATAGACTTTATCTAACAATAAGCCTAGAATAAAAATCACAATATGGCGTTCTCATTGTAATATCGTATAAATTATCAGATAATCTTTATAATTAATGGATAACAAACTCCCAAAGCTTTAAAATGAAAATGTCTCTAACTACGACCGATATTGTTTTTCTGTGTTTTTTAGTGTATAACTAAAATACTGTTTGATACTAAAAATGTTTAGCTGCAAGACAGAGTTTAACCAACTAGTGCGTTGTTTATAACATTGTTTTTATTATATGTTTACAACTAATAACATTATACAATATTTCAATCGTAAAGTTACGAACAAAATAAATTTGTCAGACATTTTTCGAGTCAAGTCAGAAAATAATTTAGTTTTGGGAAAGATTACCACCTTCCAGCCTAATATTTAAAGACCTTTAGCGACTAAAGTCATTTTATAGAATTACACGGCAAAGCAACACAAAAATGTACACTATGTTCACGAAATTTTTCAGTAATGCTCACATGTATACTTTCGCTTACAGCACAAACGTGCTAACACCAATCGACGCCTTAAAATTGTTCTTATCTTATGGAGTTTTAACTTTTATTGTTATTTTGATGGTGGGAATCATTCAAAAACTACATCTCCCATTGTGATGTATTTTAACAACCCAAAGACAAAAGTGTTGTCTGGAAGCTTCAAATAAGCAAAAAATCTACAAAACAAACTATATTTTAATCAATTGTTTCTAAACTATTGATTTACTTTAACAAATGAATACGATATGAACCTTTTATTCAATTAGTATTATTAATTTTACCCTTGATTACTAGCCGACAATATTTTAAGCCACTGTAACTGACCATTTATAAGACCATATTCGAGAGTTTTTAAGAAAGCTGAAAGGAAAACTTTGTATTTCTAATATCTTATTCACCGTTCACCTCATAAATACATTTCGTGAGCCTTTGATTCAAACTCAGCAACTTTGAATTTAAAATACTTAATATTTTTTAAAACAGTATGAACTAGGAGTGCTTGTAAAATAGTGGTATTAGTAGTAGTAATAAAAGACGGAACGTATATTGTTTTACTTAGAGGCCACAGCATTGATCAAGATAAAAAAATAATTTAAAGTTCTTTCATTTACTGTTTATTCAACCTTGGTAATTATTTATTACTGGTACATCAGGAGGATAATATCTCTCTCTGATATACAAAGTTTGCACTACAAATATCAGTATCCCTGGCTATCTGAAGGACTGAAAAATCTATTAAAAGCTCAACTCTGGAAAACCTAGTTAATTTTGGACATTCCAATTTATTAGAATCCTTCTTTAAAATTGTTAGTATAGTGATAAATATGGGTTTTAGAAAAATACGGATGAAAAAGGAATGTACATTAGAAGTTATAGCTTGTCACCAATCCAACCCTGACCTTTGTTTCTAAAACCAGTGTTTTTGCTTTCTTATTCCAATGCGGTCTTGATCTAGTTCCCTGTCTTCCACAATCTATCACGTTTTCTCTATCCCAACCATATTTGCCCCCCCTATTACCTACATTTTTTAACTAATATTTAACCACCATTACAATTTTTAATTATTTTGTTCCTGATATTCATCGATAACCATTTTCATACTAACATTTTTCATCAGCTGTTAGGTCATCGTACAGTTCGTCTTTACTGTCCGACTTTTTAGACGATTTATGGCATGATAACACTTCAATTTTGTTTAGCTATTTAACACAGTTCTGTGAAGTTATAGACTTATATTTTTAGCAGACATATTAATTGTTAACACGGTTGTACATTTTACGTAAATCTAATTGCCGAAAATAAAATTTTGTTCGCTGAACTGACCCCGCTCATCCTCAAAGTTTAAATTTTGACAATAATGGCTCAGTAAAGTATTAAAGGACCACCAAACACAACTCAGTTTTTAGTTACTCATGATAATTATAACGGCATTTTTCTTTACTAAATAAGCTAACTTTAATTTTACACACCCAGGTTTCGAACAAATAAATATAACTTGTATTTGTCACAAGTAATGGTCAAAAAATAAGGTGCTTACAAAAGCCAAATGCTCCTTATTATAAAGTATTTTTAATTCACAGACATGTAAAATTAACGGTATAAATTGGGTTTGTTTAGTGCTCATTCATAATTTTGGAGTGAAATCCATATGACTTGATTAAATCTTTCACTAAACGTTTTTTGGCAAAAAAATATATAAGAAAATTGACCAGTTTAAAACTACACTAACGTTGGTTGAAATAGTAGATAGTTTGTCCGAAACAGTAAACCGTGAACGAAGTCTGAAAAGCTTTCTATGAGATTCAACAGACCTGAATATATTCATGCCACAGACAATTGTCTGTAACATAATCAGTTTGCATCGACTGGCAGTACAGACTCAACAATATTAGCAAGTGTTATTCTAAAGAGATAAAGTAAAATTTAAATAATCGAACTTTTGGTTTTTCATTTTTAAGAACCTACCAGGTGATAGTGTTTTTAAACTCAAAAAAAAATTGAATTCTGAATGTGAGTACATTTTAATAAATTCGGAAGTATTTGTAATGTATTACAGAACAAAAGATGCTGTGAGTTTGAATTTTTTCATCTTATTTCACAAAAATTCCTTATTTAAAGTTCCAGTAGTACACAAATGCTTTGTGGTTACGAAAAGTAATTAGTTGTAAAGACCTTTTACAAAATTCCATCTCCACTTTATTAGTGAAAGAATAAATATTTAGGCGAGACTATAATTTATGGATGAACTAATCAGATATAGGATAACCAGTAATAATTCATCCATACATTTGGCTAAATAGAGTTTCGAGATTATAGCTGATGTCAGTTCATGATGAAAACCGTAAATCTACTTTTTAACCTTAATCACCAACCGTAAATCATAATTCTTACTCGTTTATAATTGTAATTTAGTCCTAATCAGTAGGTATCCATTCTCAAGCTCAAGTCAGCGTCGCTCGAAGGTCGTCAAAAAATCATAGTCTCACCAATACTTTTATTATTAAACAAAATATCAATTAACTTTTCAAGAACATAACCAACATAACTTTTCTCATCAGGTACTTCACAAAACTTTAAAAGTAAATTTGTACTGTAACGACAATAGCAGTTCAATTCAAATACACTTAATATGAAGTCGTTACAAATAAGTCGGTCAACAGTGACATAAAAACTTACGTTAGAATAAAAAGTTGCAGATAGAGTAACTAATTTATTTAAACACCTTTATTTCTGATTAAGTGACGCTTATGCTACACTAAATGTACATTTAAGAATCAGTGCTTTGATTTGTTGAATACACGTTGCTAATAAAACTCACTTTGGTTCTTTTTTATTTGCCTCACAGTGACCCTGTCAACTTCCAAAAGCCTGTGAAGCCCTTCAATCGGTTCTACATAATCTGAAGACCGATATAAAACTTATATACTTATTTACCCGACAGAAACCACTTCTGCATTTTAAAAATGTGCCTCTATCCACTTCAAGGTCAACTGCTATAAAATTATCCTGAAACAAAAATAAATGATATTTCATATACATTAAATACCAGTTCAGCGATGTACATCGGTTTCGCAAAGCCTGAAATCGAATTTAGATTTGTTAAATTAAGACTTCTGATACACATAGATTTTGCAAACTTATCAATCGGTAAAACGTTCATTTGTAACAGGAACAACCACGTATAGAAGCCGACCTGAAGAAATAAGAACATGAGTTGAAGTAGAAATGGACCCGATTAACAATACAAACAGATAGTTTGAAGAAAAATTCAGTGTTAAAAGACAGTTCAGAAAGTATTTGACAATTCCACTGTACTCATATTTTTTCAAGAAATTAGTGACCTACAAAACCCTACTTTGAACCATTACCACTAACCCCAGTAATTTTTCTTATGGTCACTGCACGGCACCGAATAAACTGTGTTTACCTTTTTGGATCCTTCTTTAGGCTTAATGCTATCTCTGTGCACGCACCCTAAAACATCATGATTGTAGCGGTAAATAAATCCCCAAAACAAATAATCCTACGAGTCTTCGACATTGACGTTGGCCTCATTAGTTTCACCAGACTTACTCCAGTTGAAGGCGCACCAGATCGTGAGTGGGTACGCCGTTCTACATATTCCCTGCAACAACCAGCCAGCGCAGACCAAACGCTTCTCAACTTATTGATAGCTTCTCAAGTATATATACCTCTGAACTTCCTCATTTCTGGCTTCTGATTTGACTTGGATAGTATACTTCGATTTTAAAGGTGTTATCGAACTCCGAATGCTTGTTGCATCCTTGGTAATGTGCCCGACGTGATCCGATACATCAAACACTATACTGTGATTCTGCTCTTTGTTATTAGGTTATCTTTCATTTTTTAATTTTACTTTTAAATATTGCGACATCGTCCTATACTTTCGGGTAATATTTCCGTCTTCCGCATGACGTAACGAATACCTAAGATATTTTGGATTAGAACTCTTTCTCCCCTTTTTATTTAACTCATGCCACTCTGGCCCGTTAATATGAAAGCTTGGTTCTGATATGCAGAAGGTGATTTCCACAAGCACGGTGTGACAGGACCATGTGTAAAATCATTCTCAGTAGTGAAGGTATGGTCTCGCTGATTCCTCACCACACAATCTATTAAACCAAGAAAATAATTGCAGAAAATTTTTACATTCAATATGAAACATTTAGGGAGAGTCAATAATGGTGAGGGCAGCAACAAGGAACAGAGGTGACAAGACTCGGTCATGTAATTGCTGTCACTGTAACCTCTTGCTTGTGTGTCAGGCATCCAACCACTTGAAAGCAAAGGGACGGCTATTCTAGATTGTCCAGGACCGATCACAGTCAAGCAATTATTTACGTTCAAGGGCCTTGTAAATTTATATCGATGGTTCATACAGAATTGCATGTCTCTTAACAGGCAAAACCGCGGAAAGACGCGACTCAATAAGATGCAACATCCATAGTGAAAAAAGTTATCACAAAAGCAATTATTTTCACACATCAGGACACCAAAGGACCCATTAGTATCACAGTAGATACATCTGACCTGGGCAAACAACAAATGGAAATCTTAGGTGTTCTTTCGAGACGGTTGCAAGACACTGAGTCGAGGTATTGTACTTTAGATAGGGAGCTCCTGGCTGCGTATTATGCTTTAAGGTACTTTCAATGCTCTGTGGGGGGCTTAGAATTACATTTGCTCACCGACCAGACAGGCACTCCCCTCGAAAGTATTGACAACTGGACCGCATTTCTCATTTTATTTCAGATATACAACAGATTTTTGGGACAAACAATGTAGTTGTGTACGCCTTGTTTAGTATGACTTCCTCAAACAGCTTGCAAGGAATCAGCCATAAAATCGCGCGCTTTACAAACGGGAAATTTTGTTCTAACGCGATTTGCATTACTCAAAATTTTGCTATGTCTCCACGCAACAGAAATACTATTTTTGATCCAAAGAACCTATCCTGAGCTTTACATTTGGTAGATCACTTTTATATTTCAGTTTGGCCCACGTTAATAGTTGACTATGGTTTTGCTTCAGCTTACTATTCAGTATTTTTAGTTTTTCACGACAAGGCTAGTTTTAGTTTATCCTTACCTTGTGTATCACCCACTTTTATCCATTTTATCCGTTTTTAGTGTACTGTTTTTTTTGTTTTACGGTCATGAACTTTTGCTAGCTTCCATTGAACGATTTACACCACCATAGCAATGAAGAATTCATGCAAGCAATCAAGATGCAGTTTTGTTACTACCTCTGGCATGCAGTGTGTCAAATACAAAGATTGATTCCACGAAGCGAGCACAGATCTTACAGTAACTGCTTACAAATGACCTAATAAGTCGAATCGTAGGTGGGTATGTGGCACATACAGCATGATTGCTGGGATTTGTTCGGCAACCCGTTCATTCTCTTCACAGGTCTGTGAACAGGGTTGTCGGAAAACCTGGAAAAATTTAGTCCTAAAGCGAGCAAACGAACAAAGACTCACAGTGAAGAGAAGAAGAGGGACCTCAACAACACTAGTATCGACAGAACATGCAATGTCACTAAGGAGGACTTGCCGAGTCTCAGCACCATCATAATGTTGACGGAACTGGACTCTCCAAAAAAACTTGGTTCCCCCAGAACAGAACCCGTGAATGCATCGGCGGTCCCCAAAAACACTGTAAGCGGTTGGACCTCCGTCAACAAAGTTATAACGGACCGGGTATCACCGTCTAAGAAGCAGAAAGTCCCATGTATTGTAATGAAATCAACTGGTGATTTGGTCGTACAGTCAACCGCCATAAGACTGTCCAAGCAAAGAGCACATGAATCTGAAGCGTGTTACAATCATCGAAAAACAAGGTCTCCAACGTGGGAAAGCCAGCACGATGATCAACGATGCTTCTCTCGTAATTATGAATCCGAATTACCGCCCTGAACCCCCCATCAGTCTTCAGGACAAAAATGACAGGACGCTCAGTGAAAAGTTAATCATTGAAGCTCAAACGTTCAAAAATAGAGCTATTGTCGGTCGCATGGCTCACTCGTGGAAAGGACTTTACACATCGAAATCACCCAACACTACTTCCTGTGAAGCTTAATAACACTGACGACTTAGTGAATGTATTACCGGTTAGTCATTTGCTAAAATTATGTGGGAATGAAGAATATTGCGTGAAATACTGTAATCTGAACGCGATCGCATAGGAACATTCCTAAGGAACCTCACAAGAACTTTTTACGTGGAAGAAATATTATTATGCAAAGTGTACCAGAAAACACGAACACTCATCAATCACATTCTGATATTCGGAAACGGAAATTTGTCAGACAGTCCTTGAAGCATAGAAAGATTTTGACACAACAAGTGGTTAGACTAACTAAGAAGGACGGAAATTATAAATTACCTTCCCATTGTCCCATATGGCGGTTGCGAATCTCGAAGTATTTCGTACCAACAGAGGCCGGTTGCCAACCGCAACCCATATACATCCGGATAGGTCGCACGATGCCAGGATCGAGCACAAAAGCAAGTTAGAGCTAAATGTTCCACCTACAAACTGTCTGAAGCATAAAAAATTCAGAAACGACGGAGGTTGTCAACTCGGAAAATCCTGTGTATGTATGTTACCTGTCAATTCACATAAGGCTCATTCAGATAAACAAGACGGGAAAGCTCATACGTTTCAACTTGAAAGCCATGATTCTACCAAATAAAATGGATGAGCTACGCAAACTCAGCAATGATAATAATGTTCATTTGGTAGGAACAACTGAAATGTCGATATCTCAGTTTACGGACCAGAAACTAGCAATGCCCAAGATTTCTTTGGTTCGCAATGACAGAAAAACAGGAAGAACGGGTGAAGTAGCCCTATATTTACGATTCTCCCTTGAATTACATCGAGCGCATAACCAAGAGTTTGTAGTGACCTACTTTTGTCAACAGAACGTGATTGGTTTAAGTTCATCGTTCTTGATGGATCCGTATGGGGCTCAGTGAGATTGTCTACAACCTCAAGGTGTCCAGTTGGAGTCATCTACAGGATGTCCACTGCTGACCTTGAGTACGACAATCGTATGTTGGAAGGATTATCCCTCTCTACTCTTCTGGGATTCAATCATATTCCGTTTTAGAGAACGTCAACCATCCCAAGGTCCGTTTTGCGGAACATTCGTACATTGAAGATGAAAACTCTGCTGAATATTGGTTCATCTACCCCATTGAAGACTTGGAAATATTCGAAAATGTCAAGTTGGCAACTCGTTGGAAAAGCTGTCAGATATCGTCGCGCTTAGAATAGGTATTTACAAACGAAAAACTCACAATTGACAATCTCTCGATCTTAACTACCCTGAGAAAAACAGATTACGCCATCATAGCCTTCAGTATTATCAACAGAATTGAGCTGAGGCACCCCACTAAGAACACGCGCTGGATTCTTAAACGGTTGAATGGGTCAGCTTAACAGGACAATCTACAACAGGTGAACTGTGAAGCTCACAGTAGACTTGATCTAGATGCTCTTTGAGATTTCTCAATGCGCTACAAGCAGTCTGCTCCTCGACTTGTCCCCAAAATCTACAAGCAACCTACAGTCATCAAGAACCTTACTCTTCGTTTGCTAATCGGGTAAAGCCAATTCTAGTCGGAATACAAACGAACTGGTAACAGCAGCGCAAACATGCAATTCAAACAAATAAGGAATATAAAAAAATAATATATATGTAAAGACGATTAGGTATCAAATCGCATTTAATGGATCGGTTCACTTCATACCTAAAGAACGACACTTTAATGTTAAGGTCAACGTCATTTTCTCTCAGGCTATGTATTGTCCTAGTGGGGTTAATCAGGGTTCTTTACTAGGAACTCTTCTTTCTTTGATTTATATAAACGTTCTTCCACAACAGATACAATCTAATTTATCCCTTTTCGCTGAAGTTGTGAAACTC